GCTATTTGTCCCATTAGTCTTACCTGGGAATCAAAAGGTCAAACGGTCCTTACATAAAAGACTCTTGGTTCACTGCCCATAGACACCAGAATGAAAGCAAAATTTATAACAAGAAGTCATTTCTGTAATTGAATATGTAATTTTTGTTTATTTAAAAGTTAAACTTTAGGACAAAATTTAAAAGCAAAGGTAATTTTTTTTTTATCTTTTTGTTTTTCTGAAATAATATGTCCTAGCAGGGTAAAAGTAAAAAAAAAAAAAAAAAAAAAGGCCTCATGTCATGAAGGAGACGCAAACCTCCTCCTGAAAACAGTGAGTCCCAGAACACATTCATCCAAGGCCGTACCCAAGAGTTCTCCAATTTCTTTATTTGAGGCTTGCAATCTCTTTTCCTGGTTGTCATCAAAATTACAGAGGCGAAAATTCACTCTGATGGAGGAAAATATGCATCAATAAAGGTCTGAAGATATCTCTCTGTTAAGAAGTAATTGCTTTTTTTATTCAGCAAATAGTTATTATTGAGTATATGCCTAGTACTATACTAGCAGAAAAAGGAGAAAAGAATAAAATGTAATGTAGTTCTTATTCTCACAAAGTTTTATCCTGTCAAGGACACAAAGGAGTTAAAAATCAAAATATGAGTGCTATGATGAATAGGCTATTAAACAGGAGGGGGGTGGGAGTGGCTCAAGTGTAGCTACCTAAGATGGGAGTCAAAGATGAATGAGCTCAATGTTCAGAGCCAGCAGAAATACGTCAAGATGGAAGAGGAGACTGTTCACAAGATAAAAGGACTGAGAACATGTCTGAAAGAGCACATGGCATTCAGTGAGATGTAATAGTTCCCCAGGAAAAACACAATTGTGGAGGAGCAAACAGACACAGGAGACACGAAGTGTCAGTCATAAGGCCCTGTGTGCCCAACTACAGCAACTTTACCTTGAAAGTAACAAGTACCATCTGACTTTTAAAATAAAGAGAAGGAATGACTTTATAAGAAAAAGTATATGCACAGGAAGCCCACACAAATTACTATCATAATAATAAAGACACAGTATTAGTAGGGCTTAGACTAGAGTGCTGGAAATAGACATTATTTCAATATAGATTTAATTTGAAATCAAAATAGCTAAATATAGTAAATGATGGGATGTAAGGGATGAAAAAAGCAGGGGGTGGGGGGTGGGGAGAGGTTAAGGGCCATTCCCTAGTTCTAATTTATAGAACTGAGTATGTGGGTAGGCCATTCACCAGATAGCAAAGGGATACAAACATCAGGATGAGTTGAGAATCAAGATTATGTTTGTAGTTTGGAGTAAGTCTGAGTTTAGTCGGCCTAGACCTTAGCAAAGAGAGCTGGATGCTGGGAACTGGATGGGAGGGAAGGAGGAGAGGGGGAGAACTAGAGTCCTAATGGAACTCCTTATACTAAAGCTTCATAGCACGTCATTTAGCTGGTAACAATTCTTGGGGAAAACTATTCTTCAGAAAGAATGGAACACTACACAGTGTTGTAAAGTATGAGGGCGGGGGTGTGTGTGAGGGGGGGACTAATGATTTTGTTGTCATCTGGAGGAAAATAGAAGCTTCCTTCCAAAAGGGTCAGAAATACCTTAAAATCATTCTTCTAACTAGCCCTTTACATATCAGCACTGTTAGAGATTAGTTTTCTAATATTTCAGAAGATTAATGCTAGAAATCAAAACACTAAGAACAGACTGATTTAAACTTATACAAACTATTTTGTGTCCTGTTTCAAAAAGTTAAATTTCTATCAAATATGATTTATTAGGACACTCTCAGTAAACAATTTATGATTTCATCCTTTAAAAGAAGTGTTCATTTTAAATTTGTTATGTTATTGTTTTATGAATATATTGCCTGCATGTATGGCTATGCAACATGTCCATGCCTAGTGTCCATTGGGGCCAGAAGAGGTCAACAGATCCCCTGGAACTGGAGTTACAAACAATTATAACTACATGGGTGCTGAGAATACAAAGCAGGTCCTCTGAAAGAGTAGCCAGTGCTCTTAACCACTGAGCCATCTTTCTAGCCCCAAATGTTCGTGTGTGTGTGTGTGTGTGTGTGTGTGTGTGTGTGTGTGTGTGTGTGTGAAAGAGAGAGAGACAGAGACAGAGACAGAGAAAGACTTACACTTGGATGTTTTAAGAAAGTACCATTTTTATTTTTCAAAATAACTGCTTAAAGTTAGTTTTATCTGAATTGTAGTTTAAAGTATTTACTGTCATCCAGATTACAGACCATAGTGGCAGACAGATCTTTGTGAGTTCAAGGCCAGCCTGGTCTCTATAGAGAGTTCCAGGCCAGCCAGAGTTGCAAAGTGAGGACATAATGAGAACCTGTCTCCAAATAGAAAGAAAGAGAGAATTCCAGACTATAGAGCATAATATCGAAGCACTACCATGGTAAAGGGCAAGTTATTCTGACTCTAAACAATGTACCAACCCTAAAAAATATTTAAGAGCTAAAACTGTAAATGAAAATATAAAGTATTATATTACAGATTAAAAATTCCTACTAATTCCTACTTTTTAGCACCAAACCCTACATACAATTAAAAAAAAAATAGGAGGCTGGAGATACAGCTCAGTGATTAAGAGAGCTCGCTACTCTTGTAGATGACTAGAGTTCAGTTCCCAGCACCCACATGGTGGATCACACTATCTGTAACTCCAGCTCCAGGACAGTTAACACTTTCTTCAGATGTCTGTGGGCATATGCACATACACACAAATAAAAAATAAATATTTTTTTCAAAAAACACAGAGTTTTGTCTTATTATTTCTAAAAATTAAACTGAATGTTTACTATTTAAAATATGGAAGTGATATTTTAATATTATTTTTGTACTAAATTGATGTGTCTAAAATATGAGAAGCCTCACAAAGCCAAAAGTAATGAGGATCCAGATTAAATTATGTTTAAAATATATGCTACAAGCCGGGCAGTGGTGGCGCACGCCTTTAATCCCAGCACTCGGGAGGCAGAGGCAGGTGGATCTCTGTGAGTTCGAGGCCAGCCTGGTCTACAAAGCGAGTTCCAGGAAAGGTGCAAAGCTACACAGAGAAACCCTGTCTCGAAAATATATATATATGCTACAATTTAGAAAACAAAAAAATAAAAAGAGATCATAGTGGTGGAAGAGCTCTAGAAAGAGAAGTGGCAGAACACAGGTGCTATGAAAAGAGGGGTGGGGGGATGGGGGACTGTCCTGGTGGAAGGGATAGCAATACAGAAAAGGGGGATAAATAACACTATGGATATCTGGAAAAGCCATAGGCAATTGTGGTTTTATTGTTACTCAAAACTACATATATGTGAGTATACATGGAGATCTACTCATATATATAGTTATGTATATAGTAATTAAAGAAAGCTATACCACTTGTGGTGATAATGCTCCCCCCAAGAGCCACAGACTAACAAAAGACCCAGTCCCAGGCCTGGGAAACTCCCTTCAAACTGTTGTTTAGGAGAACCCATGAGACTCCAAAACAATACAGGCTATTGTCATTGCCCTGGCTGCCTTCCAGAACTTGAAGGTGAGACCCTATTGCTGATGACACCACACACTTCAGACACAGGACCTGGAGAAATCCAGGTGGATCTGACCTGGAAGCCTCCTCCCTGAAGACTAGTTCTCACAGTATCTGAAGGTGCTATGCAAGCTGCCAAGGGAGAAAAGCAACAGTCCTACCCAGCTGTAAAGCCTGGGAACCTTCTCAATGACCAGCACTGCAGGAGTTCCTCAAGGATGCAATGGTGGCACTTATATCCTGGGAGTGAACAACAGCCACCTAATTGGACTTAAGACCTACTGAATAAACCTAGGCAACCATGCAGAGCTGGTTAAGTCATGGAACCTAGAGGAGAGAATCTACTACTGCCACTTCCCCAAGCTAGTCTAATCTCTAACTGCCTCCCTAATACTTACTTTTATACCTTACAGAGGAGTGCAGTTCTCATTCCTCATCAGAGAAGCTTCTTTTTGCAGCAGACACAGGCCATTATAGAGAGCCAGAACTGGTCAAAATGCAGAGAACAACTGAGCATCAAGTACCCAGCTCCACCTGACGAATCTACAACACAACCCCGACATCTAAGGCTCAAGGACATCACAAGTGACGAAGCAGAAAGGCTGTGAGAGGCAGAGGATCAGACCTTCTGCTGCAGGACAGCATCTTCTCTATACAGCAGGGAAACTGCTGCACTTGTGCAGTCTCAACAATACGGCTGCCTAAACGACCTGAACTGGGTCCCCATCCCTACATGAAGAGCCGTGGGTCGTTTTAAATGCTAACGGGGGAGAAATAGTCTTCCTCAGGACCCCCTATTTGGTTATCCAATATAAAGTGGTCAGCCTAAAAAACATATCCATACAAGTACACTGAAAGAACTCAGCAAATTGTATTTGTCTATGCATCCATATACGTATACATATGTGTGTATATATATACATATATATACTTGCAATAATAATAATTAAAGGAAAATAAGCCATGAATTTGAGAGGGAGTGCGTAGAACCTGAAAGTGTTTGGAGGGCATAAAAAGAGGAGGGGAAATGATGCAAACACAGTATACATGTAAAATTTTAAAAATAATTTTTAAAGTAAAAGGTTAAAAATAAAGAAAAGTATGCAAACAAACATGAATATGCACATATATACAAATATGCATACATATTATCTTTCATATCATAAAATTCCTAAAATACATACATCAATTAATCATAAAGTAAATAAGCTAAATGAAATAAGAAGCCTTTTTCAACCCCTTGTCCATCTCCTTAGTTAAGTACAGAACCATCATTTAACTGAAAATCAGGGTGGAAAACTCGAAGGTTTGTTCTCGAGTGAAACAAACCTGTATGTATTGATCTTCAATATCATTTCCAACAATCTTGTTTTCAAGAATATTGGATTTATACTATTTCACAAGTAGTAAATTAAACAAAATCAATACTCAGTAACATACCTTTCAGATAAATTAAGGCTTTGGTGAAGAGGATCTAATTTCTGACATGTCTCTATGCTGTCAACAGATGTCGAAGGCAATGAGTCTGATTGCACCTTGCTGGCATCACATAAATTAGCATCATTTCTAGGTAGGGTCTTTCTGAATTTTCGTCCTAAATCCGTCCATAGAACATTCGTCAACATAACTCTGAGATGCCTGTTATATACACAAATAATTAATACATATGGTTCTAAATGTTGTATAATACATGAATTTATTACAAACTGTAACAAGTGAGTATTTCCTAGAATTCTGAATTTCACTACTTCACAAAATTTAACTAGTTATAACCATTATAAGTAAAAAAACCAAATGTCTAGTAGTTCTCAATGACACATTAAAAAGTCAAGCCTACTTCACTTACATTGGGATTTTCTTCGGAATTACATCAGACAACCTATAATCGTCCTCACAAATATGTACAGCTGTTTGGTTCCTCGCAACTCACCTATGCTTTCCCACAGTTGGTGGAAGGTGAATGTGCATCTGTAGATCTCATCTTTCTGAATTACGTGTGCTTTTGCTTTAGCATGCAGTAATTTAGAAAACATATTAAAACTGAGAGCAAATGATACTCTTATTTTACCTTATCTCTAACATGGATAGATAAACAGCTGTATTTAATGACAACTGTGGGGGTCTCTGCAAACACCAAGACTGGCAGAGAACAGTCCTCTTGAGGCAAGAAGGAAATCCGGTTCAGTGCATCTTAGCCAGTGTAGGTTCAAAATTCTAGAGTCTGACCTCAAGCAGTTTGTTTTAGCCATATTTAAGCACAGCACAATTTTGGAAAAGAAGTTTCCTGATGATAATTAACTCAATCCCACATGTACAACAAAGCTTAAGACAAGCTTACAGTGAAACTCTTCCCAAAGTACATATGACCTCTTCCATAAAGATCGGTTCTATTGACTCAGAAACACGCTCAAGATAAGGGTTTGGAAGAGTGACTGCGGCAAACGTTAGTCTGAGGGATTCAGGTGAAGTGTGGCCCTTCAGATAGCAAAAGACCACCAGGTTATAAACTACATCCATTCCCAGTTTTCTGGGTGCAAAACAGGTAAACATCTTCTTCCTTTGAAGAGACAAGCCGGCGTGTTTAACCTTCCTGGTTTCCCTAGTGCTTATCTGTAAGTACGGGAACCTCACATCTTCAACAAACAACATCAATAGAAAGCCTGATAAATGCAAGTACTTTCCAATTTTTGCTTCATCTCACACACACACACACACACACACACACACACACACACACACACACACATATAAACTATGTTCAGTCCTCATACCACTGAATAGTTTTTGCAGGGGTATAAATAGTCTACCACACAGACTTTAAACAATACCAAATGAGGAATAGCTAAAGTGTTAATCACAACTGTTTAATCAGAAAAGTCTATTTGATGTCATAGGAAGCACTTTTAGACACAATTTCATTATTTAACAAATACAATAATATTAGGAAACAGAAGACAAAATGCTCACATATTTTCATAATAATACAGGGAATTTCCAAAAGAATTTAAAGAATGTTTGTAGCAGCTACTTGGGGATAGACAGAGCACCAGACAACCTAAAGGGAAGAAGGTTCAAGTCATAGGAGAACTTCCATGGGAACATGTTAATTAAGAAAAACAACTTAAGGTATGAAGAATACATATTTCTTTGAATCAGCAATCATACATCAACCACTATTTATGGAACATTTAACCAAACAACTATGCTGGTAGGAGTTAGAGACACATCAGCAAACATGAAACGGTTCCTGCTCACGAGAGACAGGAAGGAGAACCGATACTGTCGTTCCTTCTGAACCACGGCAAGAAGGGTTTGGCTATGAAGATGACTGTGACAAGTCTGGACATTAACACCCCACCCAGGCTCACGTGTGCAAATGCCCACAGCTGTTCTATAAGGCTGTAGGACCTGCTGGTACAGGTGGGTAACTAGGAGTCGGCCCTGCTTTTCATCCCTGCTGCTCTTTGCTTCCGGATTCAGCACCCTGGCAGCTGCCATGCAGCTGTTCCCTCGTTCCTGTCCCACCAAGATGGACTAAACCCTGAAACCAGAAGCTGAAAATAAACCTTTCCTGCCCTAAGCTGTTAACAACCTTTAGGCTTAAGTGTTAAAGAATGCTAGGCAGTCTACCAAAGAAAATGGACAGAAACAGAAACAACAACAACAAAAAAAAAAATAAGTAAACAGTAGCAGTAATGCCTACTCGAGGAAATAAAAACTTTTATTAATTTATTTATTTTACATCTCAGGCGCAGTTTGCCCTCCATCTCCTTCCAGTCCCTCCCCGAAACCCCCTCTCTGTTCCCACCCCCAATCTACTCCTCCGTTTCTGTTTAGGAAAGGGCAGGTCTCCCCATAAGTATCAACAAAACATGGCATATCAAGTTGCAGGAAGACTAAGCATTTCCCCTATGTATTAAGGCTGGGTAAGGCAACCCAGTATGAGGAGTAGAGTCCCAAAAGCCAGTAAAAGAGGCAGAGTCAGCCCCTGTTGCCACTGTTAGGAGTCCCACAAGAGGACCAAGCTACACAACTGTCACCTAGATGCAGAGTGCCTAGGTCAGTCCCATGCAGGCTTCCTGATAGTCGGTCCATTCTCTGTGAACCGCCATGAGCCCAGGTTAGTTGATTCTGTGAGTTTTCTTGTGGTGTCCTTGACTCCTCTGGCTCCTATAATCCTTTCTTCCCCTATTCTGCAGGATTCCCTGAGTGATACCTAATGTTTGGCTGCGGATTTGCATCTGTTTCCATCAGTTGCTGGATGATGCCTCTCTAATGACAGAAATTAAATTATTTATCCAAATGTCTAGAGTGATATGACCTATGACCAAGATAACACTGTACAATTAGTATATGGTGGACTATATGAAGGAGTTGAGACTTAATTTTTTATCTGTATTTTATGTGCATTGGTGTTTTGTCCACATGTATGTCTGTATGAGGGTGTCGGATCCCCGGAACAGGAGTTACAGACAGTTGTGAAATGCCATGTGGGTGCTGGGAATTGAACCCAGGTCCTATGGAAGAACAGTCAGTGTTCTTACCCACTGAGCCATCTCTCCAGCCCCAGGGGTTGAGATTTTATTCAAAAAGAACTCTGTACGGAACAGAGCTAAAAGCCTCATGTTACATTTTAGCAAAGAATCTGCTGCATTTGTCTATGTCCTGAAACCTTGAGTAGGGATGAATTTAAAAGTAATGTATTCATTCTATTTGGCAGCAGAAATTTCAAGACAAGCCAGTGTGAGGGCTGTGGCATGATTACTACTGACTGCTCACGGTTAGGTCTACACTGAATGGGAGCAACAGACAGAGCAGGAAGATATGGAAAATGTGTTGTTGGTGGGAAAAGGAATGCATATGAAGTTACAGACAAGGCTGCTGAGAAAGCAGCTGTACAGTTGTTAAAAACAAAACAGACAAAAACCTAGCATTCTGCATAGGAAAGGTACCAGGAAGGCAAGACCCACCTATGGAAAACTCTAGTGAAATGCAAATTCATTTTAAAGAAAGGAGCCTAAACTGAAAACGCCTCTGAAGGATTTGCTTGCTCAAAAACAGCTGCCATGGAAAGTACACATAAACCCCAGCCATGTATCAACACACAAAGGCTAATTCAACTGTGATCCAAGGCCTTTGGGCTCCATCTCAAACTGGCAGCACTGTCCACTTAGACTGGTTTTGCAGGCATGAAAGATGTAAGACTGCCAGGCAGGGGTGGGATCCCTGCAAGGAGACCCTGAGAAGTCACTGCATGAAGTTTGAAAGTGAAGCCTAAGTTGTAATGGAGACCCTAGGATGTTGGAGATACCAAAACATGGAACACCTACTAAGAAAAGCTGAAGACACAGAAGGCAGCCAGTTCAAGACAGAGGCTCTGCATGCTGCAGGAAGCAGATCTGGAGTGTGGGTCTGCCCAAACCCTTTGATGCTGAGATGAATCCAATAGGAACCCCTGATGCCAGACACAGAACTGCAACATTTGGCATCTACCCTGCTAGATTTCACATTTGCTTTGATCGGATCTTTCCTAGCTATGACCCCTTTCCTCCTTAATGGGATGAGAATGTTTACTCTGTGCCATTATCTACTGAAAAAATGTAATGTGGTTATGACTTTAGGGGCTCACAGTTAAATTACCTTAGTCTCAGAAGAAACTTTGGACCTTAGGATGAAGTTGGAACAGCTGAAGATTATGGGGATATTTAGAGATGAACCTAATGCATTTCACATTATTAGATGAAAATGAGACTTTACAAGTCAAGGATGGAATAATATGATTTATAGTGATATGCCTTTGATTTATTTTTTATTTATGAGTGTTTTGCTCATATGTATGTCAGAAGAGGGTATCAGATATCCTGGAACTGGACTTATAGGTGGTTATGAGCTACCGTGTATGTGCTGGGAATCAAATCTAGGTCCTCTGCAAAAACAAGTGCCTTAGGTGATGAACCATCTCTCCAGCCCTTATAGTGATGTGTCTGAATGTCAAGTTGACAAGACACAGAGCTGAAATGGTTAAATGTCCCTGTCAACTGGGTTTCATATCACTATGGAAACAGAGTTCTGGGTATAACTATAAGGCTGCTTCTAGAAAGGTTTCACTGAGAAGGGGGGATCTACCCTGACTGTGGGTGGTACCGTGCCATAGGCAGGAATCCACGAAAGAATAAAAAGGAGCAATCCAGTTGAAGATGTCATTGTCTCTTGGTGCTTCCTGACCAAAGATTCATTTTGATAACATTCCTGCTGCCTAGCCTGCCCTGCCATACTAGACTTGGCGGTGGTTTGAAGGATATTAGCTCCCACGGGCACATATGTTTGCTTAGTCCCCAGTGGAAGTGCTTGGAAGGATTGGAAAGTGTGTCCTTGTTGGAGGAGGTGTGTCGCTGAGGGTAGCCTTTGAGGTTTCAAAGCCCATGCCATGTCCAGTGCCTGTTCCTACCCCTCTCTCTGCCCACTGCCTGAGGATCAGGATGTAAAGCTCTCAGCTACTTCTCCAGGACCATGCCTGTCTGCTTTGCCGCCATGCTTCCTGCCATGGTAAAGGACTAAGCCTCTGAAACTGTAAGTGAGCTCCAATAATTGCTTCCTAAAGAGTTGCCTTGGTCATGGTGTCTCTCCACAGCAACAGG